ATATCAACTTATGTATTGATTAGGAAGACAATAAAAGGCCTACATCAACTAATGTACCAATGAGGAATAATAGAGAAAGACTTACATCAACTAATTTATTGATGAGGAAGACAACGAAAGACCTACATTAGGTAATGTACTAATAAGGAAAAACAGAAAAGACCTACATCAGCTAATGTACTTATGAGGAAGACAACGAAAGGCCTACATTAGCTAATGTACTAATGAGGAAAAACAAAGAGAGACCTACATCAGCAAATGTACTGATGAGGAAGAAAATGAAAGGCCTACATCAACTAATGTACTGACGAGGAAGACAACAAAAGGCCTACATCAACTAATGTATTTATGAGGAAGACAACAAAAGGCCTACATAAGCTAATGTACTGATGAGGAAGACAACAAAAGACCTACATCGGCTAATATACTAATGAGGACAAACAAAGAAAGACTTACATCAGCTAGTGTACTGATGAGGAAGAAAACTAGAGGCCTACATCAACTAATGTACTAGTGAGGAAGACAACAAAAGGCCTACATCAGCTAATGTACTGAAGATAAAGACATCGAAGGGCCTACATCAGCTAATGTACATATGAGGAAAAACAGAGAAAGACATACATTAGCTAATTTACTGATGGGGAAGACAACAAAAGGCCCACATCAGCTAATGTATTAATGAGGGAAAATAGATAAAGAACTAAATTAGCTAATATACTGATGAGGAATACAATGAAAGGCTTACATCAACTAATGTACTGATGAGGAAAAATAGAGAAAGACCTACATCAGCTAATATACTGATGAAGAAGCAAACAAAAGGCCCACATCAGCTAATGTAATGACGAGGAAGCCAAGGTGGAGTTTTCCTTTAAGATCAATTGGTGATTTGATGGTTTTAGACATGATTATGTAATTTGGATTCAGCCGAGTGAGAGCTTTGAAGAACGGTGTGTTTGGTCAAATGAGTAGCATGAGACGGAGGATCAAATTGATAAATGTTGGGGTTATGATACATTCTCAATTTAGATTCAACCGGTGAACTCTTTGAAGAATGGGGGTTCTTGCAAAGGAGTAACGTCAGACGGATGATTAAATTGGAACTATCGAGTTCACTTGATCAAGCTCAAGATCAAGGGGAGAGAAGAAGATCGAATCAACAACATACTTAGGATTTTTCTTGTTTGATTGCTACTTGTTCTCTTGTATCAACATTTTGCAAAGGTTAATTTTCATTATCTCAATCCCTAATCGAATTGGAGGCAGACGTATCCATAGCGAGGCTAATTGGGGACTTGCCTAAACAAATCCTTGTGTCGCTCTCTTTCTCTTTTTCTCTCTACTTTACTTTTTATTGCAAATTGTGAAAACTTCAATTGTGAGCCAATACATCGAGATAATATCATAAGTTAATAGCATAAATTATTTTGTTAATTTGATTACAATCCTTATGATTTTAATTGGTTTCTAACATCAATAAAATCAAACAAAAATATGATTTGTATTGATTGGACTCCAAGTGTTCGACAAATTGCCTTATGTAAGTTTTGTCAATTATTTATTTAGAAATTGATTGCTTTAGTGTGGCTTATTTGAAGTTGGTTTGATGAAAATTTATTGGTTGTTTTTCTTATCATACGTAAGCTAGTTCAATCGGTTTAACGCATATCCAGTCTTTTCGATAACGCTTCAGATAGACGATTATGTATCCGAGTTTATTTAAATGCACCATAGATTAAAACATTTTAAAACATAATTTTAATTTTAAAATTTCATTTGTGATCTATTCAACCCCCACCTATATTGTTTCCTATCGTCTAACATCTACACCTTATCATACTCAAACTTGTGTATAAGTACAAGTGTCGAACAAAAAAGTAAAACAAATTTTGGAAAAGAAGGTTGCTAACATCTAGAAAATATTGGTCGAAGAAGTTAGATGCCACTCTCTGGGCGTATAGGACAACATTCAAGACTTATATAGGATTTTCCTCATAAAAACTGGTATATGTTGTCACTTACTTGTCGAGCTGGAACATAAAGCATACGGGATAATTAAGTTTTCAAATTTTGATGAAAAATCAGCTGGAAAGAGGTTATTTCCATGTAAGTTAAAGTCTAAATGGTCTGGTCCTTTTATTATTAATAAAGTGTTTGAGAATGATGTTGTAGAAATACAAGATACTAAAGATTCTCACACCTTTATTGTGAAGGCCAAAGGTTGAAAATTTACACGGGAGGTGAGATACCAGTTGAAATGGGATCTATAATACTCGTAGATAATTACTCGAGAAAGTCAAGATAATGAATTAAAAGAAGCACTTAATAGGAGACAACCCATCAGATAAAATTATTATTTTTAATTGCAATTTAAATTTCATGTTACTTTGATTTATCACATTTTTTGTAGCAAGTTGTTAGAAGAAGTTGTGCGAAAAAGGAGAAAAACAATGGATGAATAAAAGGGATAGTATGAAAAAAATGAAGAAAAGAAGTGGAAAGCCCTTGGAATTTTCGCGATTGTGATGCTCTCATCGTGGGCACATTACATCTACATCATGATGGATCACAATGCGGACGATATAGAGACGTTATAGGGAGGCGTTGGAGGTTTTAACCATTGGATATAGTTGTTGTGTATCATGATCGTGATACAAGCCATTGTGGTCGTGATGGCTCTACAATAGTGCCTATAAAATGCTATTTGAGGCAACCTTTATACTAGTGACAAAATTGTAGTGAATGTGCAAAAGCATGGGAAATAACATATGTGGGACGTATAGGAAATTGGGAAGAAGTCAGGAAGTCAACATAATTTTTTGTATTAATATTTATGAATAGTTGCGATTATATGTAGATATTTTATTGGGTTGTGATTGTACCAACACTTTTATATGTTATGTCATATTATGTTACGTTGTGTTCGTGATAAGATATGTTTAGTTTTGTGATGTTAATAATGTCAAAAGCATAGGAAAAAGGAAAAAACAAAACATGTAGTGATAAACTTTATAGGGGCCTAATAAGGAGTACCCTAAAAAGGGTTAGCAACCAAAGGAGGGCTAGCACCAAAAGAATGGGGAGTCTGCTCATACACGACCGCTCGCCGTTGCGATCAAAGCTTAACTGTTATAAAATTAATAAGGCCTCTAAGTACTCGTTACTCGTGTAGGGATATCACTCACACATGTACTTTTTTACTGTTACAACCACGTTAATTCCTATCAATTTTTTTAAAAAACTAGTAACACCCTACACATACTGAACATTTTAATTAATCTAATTTTGTCAGTTAAGAAACTTATCGAATTTAAAAAAAAGTGTAGAACGCCATATATCTATACTGTACTTTTTAAAAGTGTGAAAGAAAGGTATATAAATAATGGGTTTATATTGGATTTTTCTAATAATGCGAGATAACCCCATAATTTTGGTACCGACATATTAGAAAATCTAATGAAACTTCAAGAATATTTGAAAAAAATATGGTATTTATGGTAAATATACAGTAAAAATTCAATAATTAACATGTTAACGTGGATTATTTGTAAAACAAAAGTGGTATTTTAAACCAAATATCTAGAAAAAAATACCAAGTTTTAAAAAAAAACCAATATTTTTTATTTATTTAGAGTTATTATAATAAAATTATTGACAATGTGGGTGTGTCACAGACAACCTAGAGATACTAGAGATAGTTCTCCAAAATAGTAATAGTATGACCCAATTTGCAGTAAGTGAGCCCAATAAATTTGGGCTATTAATATTTCTCCTGCATTTGGTCTTTGAATGATTTTTGTCATATAAATAGTAAAGGATAAGCAGGGCTTCAGGGGCTTTATAAGGATGCGACATGTGGTTCTGTGAAGTAGATATCTAAGGCAGATGACTTTGGGAAGTAGAAGCAGATGCTTATGAACCTCGGTCTTGTGAACCATCAAACAAGGCAGAATCGACTCGTGGCCTCGGGGGCTTGCTATTGGCCATCGCATGTCGTACAAAGGCATGTTGGGACAATCAATTGAGCCTCAATCTGTCCTAGTTGTTTTCAGTCATTGTACCTGTAATAAAACCATAAAATCACATCAAAATGCAGTCAGGCCAAATCCGGAGATACATATTTGAAAAGCAGTTCAAACAAAATCCGAAGATGCGTTTATAGAAAAACACGCGAGTTTTAGAAATGGCAAAAACCCCATTGATACATTATACTCCAACCAAATAGAAATGCATGTCTATACCAACTATATATTTTTGAATGTAACTACTACCTAATGCATTTTAAACAACATATTTTAGCTAATACATTCATCTTATCTCAAAAGAAATCAAATGAGAAACTTATCGAATGAGAGTGGTGGATGAAAAACTTTAATACAGTGAGTTGAATGATATGAGATTGAATGTATTGAAGCAGAAGTAGTGTTGAACCATTAAAAATGGGCTTGAAGAAACTTGCTCACGAGCTCAAATGGAGTTTTAGTGAGTTTGCAACAAATTAAAAAGGAAGGGAGAGGGTATGGGACGGGTATATAAATTAAACGCCTTCGGAGATGCGTCCTCATAAAACTCACCAAATTTTAAATTAAAAATTATTACAAAGATGCATTTTCGGACTCACCCAAATGTTGATACGAAGATGAATCTCTAGACTAAATTTTGACAAAATATGAGTAACAATCAATTTGCGTCGAAGAGTGAATAAAAATATGCGTCCAGAGATGCATCTCTAAATTTTAGGAATAGTTGTGACTTTTCACCGTAGTTGAAAAATACCCCCATAGAGTTTAGAGAGCAATTCTCTAAGTATTAATTAAGAGTTGTTACCTTTTTTTTTAAATCTCATATAACTATAAATATTTAACATCTTTTACCATATTCACAAGTCAAAATATATTACAATTATTCCACAACATAATCCAAGGAAATAAATCCAAAAACACCCTAAAAGTAATGAAATAAGAAAATATATATTACATTCTAAACCATGTAGCATGAAATCAACATGAGAAACATCCATATCCTTCTGGATTTTGAAACCCAACATTCTCAATAGCATCAACCGTGTTGAACATCCTTCTCTTTTGCATCTCTTCCATCAAAGATCGTTGCAATTGTTGCCTCCTCACATCAACACATGAATTAATCCTTGTTAGTCTCTTGCATCTGTTCTTTGTTCCATGATGATTCCTATGATTGTGAGTTTGAGAATTCATTTTCATGTTGCATAACTGTTTGGTGATACCAGCTTCCACCATCTCTTTTGGAGGACAAAATCTTGTCCATTTGTTGTTACTTTTTGGAGTGCAACAAAAGGATTCTTCTCCTACTATGAGAGTTGAATCGTCTTCGTCTTCGTTGCATGAATCGTCACAATGGAAATTGAAACACTTGAAGGAGTTCATTGAGGTTTCTGAGCTTGCATCATCATTCATAAATTGATGATCATCTGCAAAATAGTTCAAGTCTTAAACTATACTACAAGTTATAGTAAGAATCACTTTTAAGCCAATAAAATAACTATTGGAACAATATCGTATCAAAAGTACAAAAGTAAAAAGATTCAAAAACAAAGAATTTGATCACGAAATTCGATAAATTGTATATATTTTCAATGTTGTATTCGATATATTTAGAAGGGTTAGAGTATCGATGAAAAAAGAAGTGTTTGTGATTTTTTTTTTAACTGACGTACAAGACGAGAGATCAATATTTACCTCAGTAGATATTCAGGTTTACGATTAATTAATTTATTTATAAATTTATACGATCGAAAATAATGTGGTCAAGAATTTATATTTCAACAATTATTTTGAAATTTCTCTAATCTCATAAACCAAAAACCTAGACCACAACAATCTCCCAAAGTAAATAGAACTACTTCAACTTAGTCAAATAATCAATAAACTTAAAAAATAGAACTACCTTGTAACCAATCTTGAGCAAGAGAATAATGGTTCCCACAAAGGCTTGCATGGTTATTGAAGGAAGCACAAAACATAGGGAGAGAAACATGAGAAGAAGATCGAGAAGGCGGCGAGAAGAAAGGATGATGATTATCATCTTCTTCACCATAGTTAAAACTATGTTGTTTTGCATACTTAGAATTGTTACAGTCCCTCCATGTTGGAACTATAGTTGAAATCTCTTCTTCAATCATATCAGCAATCTCCAATGGTTCCAAGTCAATAATTTCTAGTTCTTTTACCATTTCATTTGCAACTTCAATTGCAGTGTCCTTCATGGTGTCATATGGGAAGTATATGTTTCTTGTGTGCCCTATATTCAAAGTTTAATATTTACATAAAAAATATTTTTAATATCAATAAATAAAAATAAATTATGGACTACTTTGTTATAGCTTTAAAAAAATAGTTTTTTTTTTATGTTCAAATATATTTTTTATGAAAAAAATTCAAAATATAATTTTTATAAATTTATTGTTAAGTTAAAAGACTAATTTTCATATCTAACAGGGAAGTTTAAAATTTTGTAAAAATTACATAATTTTTTAAAATAATTTTTATGAAAAGTTATTCTAAGTAGCTTCGAATTTAATTAATTTTTTCAAAATTTGATATTTAAAAAAGTTTTAATGAAAAAATGAAAATAAAATTACATTTTAAGAAAAATTATTAAAATTAATTATTCATTTAATAAATTCTTAAAAAAAATTTATAAATTTTTTTAACTGAAATATGTTACACTATTAAAATCAATTTAAAAAAAAAAATAAACAGATACAAATGGAATCTATTCTTGTGATGAAGCTATGCATACCTTCTTTGTTAGAAATTTTGACTTTAAGAAAAACAGTATCATCCTTTTCATTCATACTCCCTGTGATTGTCATGAATGTGTTCTTTCTTTGATCATTAAATAAAAGTTCCTGTTTGGCAATTATTGCATTGAAATTGCTTTTTTGAATTGAAGTTGGACTAAGCAATGGTGACTCATGTTGGGCCGTAGCCAAAAATGGATCCAACAAAAGCTCTTTTGCTGACAATCTTTCTGAGACATTTGCCAAACACTTCCCAACAAACTTTTGGGCTTCTATATCTTGAATCTTGTAAAATGCCTCTGGTAGCTTCCCCTTTAATATTAAAAATTTTAATTTTGTTACTAAATGAGTAAGTGAATTAAAATAATAAGTGGTTATTTTTTCAATTAAACTTACTGAGGTAACTTTTTTGTATATTTGAGCAGGGTTGGTGCATTCACTATATGGAAATTCTGAAGTGAATAACTCAATCATGCACATGCCAAATGAGTATATGTCTACCAATTCATTGTATTCCTCTTCATACAATTCTGGTGCCATAAATTCAGGTGTACCTAATAATCATTTCAAATATATAAAAATAAAATAAATTTGATACACACATAATTTACAAAAGTACGGACTTATTTGGATTTATATGATATTATGAGTTGACTTAAGTGCTTGTAAAAAAAAACTATTTAAGAGTATATGAGAATATTTTATGACATATTCGTATGTATATGCAGTTATATGATAAGTGCTTAATTAAGAGATGTTGTTTGAGAAATTACCTATGACACTATGTGCATGTTGAGAACCACGAAGAATTGCTGCAAGGCCTAAATCACCAATCTTGACCTTTCCCATATGGCCATTGACAAAGATATTGTCACATTTTAGGTCTCTATGTATTACAGGTGGATCATGGCTGTGTAAATACTCCAAACCACTTAGAATTTGACGAGCCCAATTCTTTATTGCTCTGATATCTACACGAGGATATTTCTTTCTATACCTAAAAAAATGTAATCACAAATGTTAGGAACATATAACAATTAAAATAATAGTTTCTATGTAATAGAGATGAGTCTTTGACTCTCTTTCACACAGTGAACAAGATAAGAGAAAGAAAATTGTATGATTGTAAAACTATTATTATTATTATTAATCACAGTATTATAAGGGAGTTTACTATATATGGTAAAAAGAGAAAGTACTGAGAAGTTAAACTAAGTTTAACTGCCTAACAAACTATGTCACTAAGATTAAAGGCCCAAAGTGTTGTAAGCCCAAAACAGTAGCAAGCCTTTTCTTTAATAGTCCCCCTCAAACTGAAGAAATTTGTTCTAGAGCAACAACCTTAAGTTTGTCTTTTAAATCTTGAAAATCTATGTACCAAGAGATTTAGTGAGGGTATCTGCCAGTTGTGCTGCAGCAGGTACATGCTTAATGAGCATTTGATGAGCTACGACACCTTCCCGCACAAAGTGTATGTTTAACTCTATGTGTTTCATTCTAGCATGCAGTACAGGATTATGGGACAACAACACAACACTTAGGTTATCACAAAGTAGTGTTGGTGTGTGAAACGGAATCTGCAGTTCAATCAACAACGACTCTAACCATAGAAGTTCGGAGGTAGTGTATGCAAAAGCCCTGTATTCGGCTTCATTGCTTGATTTGGCAACTAACGACTACTTTTTAGAGCTCTAAGGCACTAAGTTAGGGCCAAAAAATAGGCACGAGTCTGAGGTTGATCCCTTATCATCTGGATCACTCGCCCAGTCTGAATTATTGTAGGCTCAAAGAGAGAACTTGGGGGCTGGAATCGATGGAGATAACATAAATACATAACTAACAGTACCACTCAAGTATCTGAGTATTCGTCTAACTACAGTCCAATGAGTATCAAGGGGACTAGACATAAATTGGAATGCTTTATTGACATTGGAAGCAATATTTGGATGGGTTAGAGTGACATATTGTAGAGATCCCATTATAGATCGATAAAGTTGCGAATCAGTAAATGTATTGTCACCATATTTACTGAGTTTGCAAGTTGTCAGCATTAGTGTAAGAACACCATTAGCATTAGACATCTTAGCCCTGCATAAGAGATCTTTGATATATTTTGACTGAGTGAGTAAGAGAGAGTTATTATCAAGATGCTTGACTTCAATGCCAAGAAAATAATTAGGCTTACTCAACTTTTTCAGAGCAAATTGTGTGTGCAGTTTATTGATTAAATCATGAATCAGAGTGGAACTGGAGTCAGTGATCATAATATCATCCACATAAACCGGTATATATAGAACAATACCTTGTTTGTTGTATGTGAAGAGGGAATTGTCACACTTAGAAGTGATGAAGCCAAACTGCAGAAGAGCTCGTGTTAGCTGCTCATACCAGGAGCGAGGAGCCTGTTTCAATCCATAAATAGCTTTGTGTAGCTTGCAAACTAAGTCTTTTTCAGAACTTATAAAACCTGGGGGGTTGAGTCCTATATACTTCATCATTCAGCTTGTCATTTAAGAAAGCATCGTTAACATAAATTTGTTGAATATCCTATTTGTAAGTGAGGGCAAGAGTGAGGATGACTCTAATGGTTGTGGGTTTAACCACAGGGGAGAAGGTTTCTGTAAAATCAAGTCCTTGTTCCTGATGAAACCCTTTGGCAACTAACCTAACTTTATGTTTGTTAACACTCCCATCAGCATTTTGTTTTAATTTGAACACCCATCTGCAACCTACACCTTTTTTGTCAGGTGGTAAGGGAGTAAGAGTCTGTTCACCGTGTTTTCTGGTAAACAACCGCTGATCTTCTAAAAAGGATAACTTTTTGGTTACTCGCACGATCGATCAGTTTGATCCTTCGACAGCTCTTAAAGTAGTCTTCAAAAAGGAAGGAGTTGTAGGTTCTCCCTCTAAGGTCAGCATTAAATCTCTTTTGAAAAGTTGCGCCTTAACCTTTTGAAGTGTTTCTTCAAGAGGAGATGTTGAAGTGGATTTTCCAGACACAGTCGAAGCACTCTAATCAGAAGAACTTTCTCTACCCTCAAGGATGGCAGTCAAGTATCCAAGAGGATTTTTCCGTTTCAGCAATGCCAAATCTTCCTTGGTATGAGACCCTGTCGAAGTAACCCTCTCGTTTACAATACGAGCCACATTGGCTTCGACATGCATATGCACAGGGACATCTTCAACACACGCAGAGTTTCCTGCTCCCCCTGTGAGGTCTTCTCCCTCATCAGTCGCCAGAATATCTTCAGTCCGATTTCCTCCCGCTGGCACAGAGTTTCACATCATCATCAACCTCCTCTTCCCCATCCTTCTGTCCATCATCATTAACTTGCGGAGACCTAGGATTCACATGCTCTTCACTAGGAACTTCTTCATTAGGCTTCCCAATGGCTTCGTTCCAAGAAGTTTGGTTCACTTCGCTAGCAGAACTCACAAAAGATCCTTTTGCCGAAGAAGGCCTGTAAGTAGGATCACCCTCACTGTTTATCAAGGTGACAGATTCTTCTACGAGGTTATGTTTTGAAGTATCAGCAATGTCCTGAAGATTACAAGATGGTTATCAGAACTATTGAGAAAATAAAAAGAAGTCAAAGTCAGTAAACAATCGTGAGGGGTCGAAGTAATTACCTTAGGCGGAATTTCAGCGCCAGGACTTAAGTTGTCGCTCTCACTAGGATTGTTTAGCCTAGCAGCTATCTCCTGCTCTGTTGGTTCTCTGATGAAGACAGGAGGAGGTCTCGGCCCAATTACTTGAACCTTGACCTTGGTTTTTGGACGAGGCTCAGGAATAGGGGATGGTTTCTTTAACTTTTGTCTTTTTAGGGGGACAGGAGGAGATTTTTCCTCTTCATCACTAGAAATTTCAATTTCTTGAACTTTCCTTTTCTGCAGATTGATTTCAAATGCCCAGAAAGAAAGGATTCAAAGGAATTAGCGTCAAAAGTAATATGTAGGAAAGAAAGATATAACAGCAGAAAGTGTTTACCTTGGGTTAAGGTTTCATAGAAGGGTCTCCTCCTTTTACGCTCTCAGCGACTTTCTTGGTGACGGTCCTCTTGACCGCTAGAAAATGAACAAGGATAAATTAGGTGTCAAATGATTTGATTGAAGATGATACAGACATTTGCTTTGAGAAAGAAGATTACCTTTTTTTATCTTGTCAGGGACTAGCGTAAATGCCTCTCGAAGGTGAGCAGCAAATTCTTTTTTGTCAAAAAATTATGTTATAATACTGCTTCCACCAGTCCTCAAAAAGAGGCGAACGTAGGAAATTAAGATTGAAGTCGAACAGAGTTAGTACGGTTTGACCAACATACCTACCAATATGCTTGGTAGCAGCATCCTCTGAGTAGTCTGCATTATAAAACAACTGAAGCTTTTCTCAAGAGTAGATTGGTGAAGGGAGCATCTGGATAATACCAAATTGTCGAGAGACAAGATTCGGTTGATAAGAAATTAAGCTAAGTTGATTCTTCAAACTCTTGAATCTCAGAGGCATGACTCTTGGTCGAAGAAACGACTCCCAGATAGCTACATGTTCATCTACATGGTCATCTTTGTCAGACGACGGATATGGTCGAATGAACCATTTTGGGCCAACCTTTCTACTAGCAAAGGGAGCCATGATCGAAACAAATTCCTTCTGCTTTGAAAACATCATTACAAAGCTGGTAAATGCCTTTTAGAATTGTTGACCTTCGTCAATTGGAGTCAATAGGACTAGTCTAGTCCCTTCGACCCTTCTATTCAAGACCTCTGGAGCCCTCTCGTTAATCTTATTCTTCTGCGAAAGAAAAGATTCAAAAGTGGAATTTAGCCAAAGTTATAGAAGCCAAAAGGGGCCAGAAAGGAGAAAACTCGCCTTATCTCCAATAACCTTAAGTTGAGTCACACCATTTCTGATGGAATCATACAGGTTGGCTAGAATCAACTCAGCCGGACAAAGAGGATAACCATGGTGAAGTTGTGTTGCAAGAGTGAGCATTTTATTAGTCACTTGAAGTGACTTGGTGCAAAAAACAAAACGAGATAACCACAAAGCCAGAAAAGCTATGTGTTCCACTTCAGAGACAGTGGTACTCAATTTTTCATGAAAATGATTAATGGATATGGTATAGGTGGGCTTCGTGGCCTAAAACCCGATAGGATCTTCAGACATATCCTCAGGGTCGAAGTAGCCACCCGTTGGTCTAAGACCAGTAATGGCGGCTATATCAAAGAGAGTTGGAGTTACCATTCCACAAGGAAAATGGAAGGTAAAATGTGTGTTGTCCCAGAAATACAATGAAGACACCAGCATGAGAGGGCAATAAGTTAACCTAGTCTTCGACAGCATGATCAAGTCATGGATCCCCATATCTTTCCAGATTTGGGCTTGTACTTTTCCATCTTGCTCTACCATTCTGAGTATTCTGAAGTAAGACTATAGCAAGATCAAAAGATCCTATTGCCCTTGTTCATGAACTGAAGGTTGATATCTTCCTTCGTTTGAGAATGTTGCTGGTTGGCAGGAGTTGCATCTTCAGGATCATTCCTGAGTTTCTTTGCATAACCTATAGGCTTGAGCCTAGGATGAGTTAGGAAGAAGTTGTTATTTTGTTTTGGGTTCTCGAAACATGTAGACAATAGGCCAGACATAGCATACATCTGTCCAGAATACCTAACTGGGATAAGCAACTGGGAGTCATAAGCATCAAGCCACTCTTTGGCCATGGGTTAAGATACGACCCTTTGTTCCCCAGTCGAAACAGGTACAAGGTTAGTGGAGAAAACCTCTGGTGGTCTTTGGAGATCAGAAACGTTCTTAGTTTTTGGATTGTTGGGTGCATTGGAAAGGAAAGCCATGGCTGAAAGTAGTAGTGAAAGAGAGAAGAAGATGAAGTTGTTAAGGTTTTTTCTTTGCAAGGAAGTGAAGAATACTAGGAGTTGTAAAATAATTCCCAAAATAGGATTCGTCTATTTATAGTGTTCAGAAAGGAGTGTTTTTCCCAAAAC